GTGAGTTGACAATCAACAAAGTATAACCTCTGCGCTTTAGGTACTTGTCTAAGGGACAATCTTAACTTCCTTGCCACCCAGTGGTTGTCACAAATTAAGCTAAATGAGACAATCTTCATTATATTACAAGCTCTTCGTTTTTCTAGATAGCCATGCGCTTGCTTTTCTTTTGCTCTTTTAAAAATTTAAGGTATCTTGCTATATTTTATGTATCCAAGAATACATAAAATAAATAAATGTAAATATCTCTAAGTCACTTTTCAAAAGTCACTAGGAGACAAATTAAAACATACAAAAAAATAAACCTTTCCACAAACTATAAATATTTGGTGCTAATGAGCACAGTAGAGAAAACTGCTATGGGTTGTACCAGAGCAAGGAGTACTGAATAATGCATGAAATGACAAATCCCAGGCCAGAGCCAGGAGAAAGCTTTTCACAGCTGGCTTAAATATTCATTTTAAATATAGTACAATAAAAGTCTCCTTTTTCTTGATTAGCCTTAGAAAAAGGAAAAGCCAACGTGTTTTCAGAAACCATATTATAGGGACTAGGAAAACGTTCTTTTAGCATTGTTTTTAAATCTCTCTACACCCCATTTCATTTAAAAATATTTACTCATTTTGCCTCCTGATATACCTGGCTTTTCTGAGCCTAGAGATCCAGCCTTCTCAAGTTTCTTCAAAAACAAAATGAAACAAAACAATAAACTAGTTTAGCAGGGATTCTGTGAACTCACCTATCATGGAAGTGCCGGATTTCCTTTAGATCTGCCCTACAGCATTCATGTCCTAAGTCAAACACGTCCTTGGCTCCTGAAGGAAGCTCCTTTTTTGTAAATGAACCTTCTTCATTTGTGCCTACTGCAGCTCTTCCCCCCTTATGATCCCTATAGAGCTAGCTAAAACCTATACTATTCCTCTCTTTCTCTTTCTTCCTCCTTCCCTTCCATCTTTCTCCAAAGAGGATAAACAGTTCCAGGTTCAAACAAGTTGCATTGTTCAGATGGCCTGCACTTGAGGGGCGCTGTGGGAGGGTCTGCCCTTGGTGCAGCCCCAGGGGCACTGCCTATAGAGCACTTAAGGCAATAATAAAAACAACTAGAAGCTGGCCTGTCTTTATCATCACCATATACTGGTGATTCTAAATAATGTCAGTGAAGGTACAAACCACTCCCTTCACCTCCAAATTGGTGCACCCCCATGTTGCATTGTTAGTAATGAAAGGACTCTTATAATTTTCCTGTGGATTGCTACGATAGTCTTTGGTTGTATACCTCTCAAATGTAGGGCGAGACCACCAAAGAAAAAAGTGGGAGATATGGTAAATGCGAATGAAGCTTTTAAGTTCCCATCCCAGACTAACAGTACCATTTCTGGAGACAGCGCTCTTACTCCTTTTTCATACTTGTTTCAAGCTTTCAGTGCTATAGAAATGCTACAATCAATCAGTCAGAGACAAGGTGCTAGAGAAAGGCATATTTAACACTTCCACTAAGCTGTGAGGGAAATGGCTGAAATAAAACAAAAGCTCAGGTCTTTCTTGCTTAATTATCCTATCCTCAAGGGACAGTAACAGTCATTTTGTATATCAGGACTCATAATTTCCTTAGAGTTTTCTGTGTAGAGAGGTATGGCTTACTTTTACTTTTCTTTTTATACTAAAATGAAAAATAAAATTCCAATGAAAATGGGGCCATGGTATTCAAACTAATGTACCTTTGCTCAGAGACTCTGGATCAGGCCCTTCCAAAGCCAGGTTCTTTAGCTTTCCCTTCGGTCTGTGACCCTCCGCAGATCCTTCCAATGAATTCCCTTTTTGCTTAATTTAGCCATAGTCAATTTCTGTGGCTTGCAACCAAAAAATCCTACTTGATATATTTACATATGTTCAAAGTACACTTAATCCTTGCAACTTTATAGGTGAAGTATTAAACCATCTTATAGATAAGAGATTAATTCTCAGACATTAGAGTAAATTGATTCTTGGTTGTAGAAATAAGTCATGGCAGAACTGAAATTCAGATTTGGATTTGTCAGGATTTATGTCTTTCCTATTTACATGTCACTATAAAAGCTTAGAAATCCTTTCTTTAGGGCCACATGTTGCTTGACCCTAAGAGATGTCAGTCACAAACACCCCTTGCAGCTGCATTCACTATAACCACCACCTATTTGTTCACTCAACAAATATCTGAGTATATAATATAGGGAAAGTGTAGCACTAAACACAGGGAGTACAAAGGTCCTTCAGCTTGTCCTTCCTTCAGGTTGCTCACATTCCTACGGGACGCTGATTGCTCAGTTTATAGACGGAAATAATATTGGAATTGGTTAAATTTAAGCAATATGAAAAAAAAACCTAGAATATAATAGTAAAGTCACATGGCTCATACAGGAAAAGGATAATTCAGCTCATTAAATTAGAAATAATTTCCACTCAATTTAAGCCTTCAGTGGAGTAATTCTTAATTGCAATGATTTCTAGAGACACACAGAGAGAAAATAGTTTTAATTCTAGTCTTTAAAACAAAGAGATGATGAAGTAATCCAGTTTCTCATATTCCAATCATTTGCATACTACCCTCAAGATTTCTGCTGTATCTGTGCACCAGCTAAAAATTTCTTGACATCAATATCTATTTATTATTTTAGAATATTTTAAAAGAAACTTTATGTTATTACCTCAAAAAGCTGAACAATAATGTATTCCATAAATAGAAAGTAACTATAAAAATAAATACAGTGGAACAAAGATAATGAATCTTATGGAGATTGCAGTGCAGTGAAAAGCTCTGAGCCCAAAGCTTGATCAGTTGCAAAGGAAAATTAGCAACTGTTCAGCAGGTGTTAAAGACCTACTAGTTCCAAACCAATCTTTCTCCCGGAAATAATCAGAAGGACTGAAAGAGAACCTGAATGGAAGTAATTTTCTCATTATATGATTCAGTGCTATCTAATACTGTGTTCGCATCCTCCTGCAGACCACAATGTGTGTGTTCCGGACACTTGGTGACACACCGAGGTAGCACACAGTGAGTCAGCAGGATACGAATGTTTTGCATGTGGAGAGAACTATGGGAAGCAGCTTCCAGGTCTGCATCTGGTATTTTCATCCATTCACTTAACTACTGACACGTATTAGTCATCCCTCGTGTGTCAGTCACTGCGCTGAGAGCTGGGATCAGTGGGAAGACTCTCATTCCAAGAAGGTAAACTAAAGTGACGAAGACGCTTAAATAAGAAAACTATAAAGCACCGTAAGTATTATAATAGAGGACCCAACAGACACTAAGTGCTAGACTAATAGGGAGAGAGTTCATTTTCAAGTCTCAAAAGGGCACCTATTCTTTCAGGATTTCTAGACGGCTTATTATCCATATAGGCTCTCATTGATTTCTCATTTCATCTGGTGAGGACCAGTTGGAAACTAGGTATAAAGACTGGACACCTGGAAAGTACTTGAAGAATAGAAGGACACAGGAGCAAAGTGTGCTGTGATGCAGACAGAATAACACGAGAGCCAGAAAGAACATTAGAAATTGATCTAATCTTTCCCTTCTATAGGAAATAGAGGCTAATGATTTCTTATAGTTAAAGGCTAAGCTGAGATTTAAACTGGACCTCCTGAAATCTTGTCCAGTATTCTTTGTACTATGCCACCTGTAGAAGAAGAAGGGAATCTTGAGGGTCAAGCATATTCACATTTGTTCCAAAAGATAAAAAGATAACCTAATGCATGCCCAGTAATTAAGTACCCAAATAAATAAAGTAAAAGAAATGGAGATTCTTGTGTGGTAGGTAGAGCAATTATCACATTTTTAAAAAGTTGAAAGGGGGTACATTTAAAGACAAATATAATACATATTTGGGCCGGGCGCAGTGGCTCACGCCTGTAACCCTAGCACTCTGGGAGACTGAGGTGGGTGGATTGTTTGAGCTCAGCAGTTTGAGACCAGCCTGAGCAAGAGTGAGACCCCATCTCTACCAAAAATAAAACAAAATTAGCTGGGCATAGTGGCACATGCCTGTAGTCCCAGCTACTCGGGAGGCTGAGGCAGAAGGATCGCTTGAGCCCAGAAGTTTGAGGTTGCTGTGAGGTAGGCTGATGCCAAGGAATTCTAGCCGGGGCAACAGAGTGAGACTCTGTCTCAAAAAAAATACATATTATGGCAGCTAAGATAAATTGTATGTACCATATTAGGGGACTTTTGCTGAGAAATACTTATGGCCAAATCAGCATGAAAACATGAATGGCTTACTGTGGTTCCCAGAACACCTTTAAAGGTGATCAGTGCAAAGGGTTTTCCTAGTAGGGCTACAGTTTCATCCTGCAGGAAAATTTATTTTTTCTCTCTCTGATCCTCTTTGTTATCACTACATTAAGACTTTCTTTAAGCTTGGAAAGGGGAGGCAAGGGAAAGCCTTGAAAAACCTTTGTGAATAGATAATTTATTTTATTGCCTCTTTCTTTCTAATACTTAGGTGGTTTTGAATGGTATTTTCCATTTTCCAAGGTTGATAATCTCTAGAGCACATTGGTTAAGGAGGAAAGCCAAGAATACTATTTCTTTTTTTTTTAATGCCACCCAAAGAATCTCAGCAGGATTACCCTGGGGCATGGAACTTGGGAATGGAAGACAGTAGTTTTTGTTAAATAAGCATATTTCTTAATTCTACTGTACAGGATTCTATGATAGCTCTGGATAAGTATGTTTTCAGCTGTATTATCTTCGTAGTCCTTCCTGTTCTTAGCCAGTAAATACTGTTTCATGTTCTAAACTTACTTTTATACAGAATTAACCTTTAGAATTCACTTGTGTAAAAGATTTCCCCACAGAATCCAAAAGATGTTCCCTTGAAAGTGAAAAATATATACCATCTTGCTATATAAATTCTTAAAATTAAACCATTTAAGCAGTCAACTCTGTTTCCAATTACATACTAACCCTATCACTTTGAACCTTCCCTAAGAATGAAGACTAATAAAATATAATATACCTGTGAAGCTTGAGAGTGACAGTTCCATAAACAGTAGCAAAACCGAGAAGCCGGACCCATCTTAGGAGAATACAGCGAAATGTGCTTGGCTCAAAGTACAAAATAACAACCTGTGGGAGGAGAACAGAAACAAAGAGACCTTCAGGATCAACTGATGACCCACAGACTAAAGTCAATATTTCACAGTCTGATGTTTTATACATATGAATTTTGACATAAGTACATATCCATTTGAATAATTCTTTAAAATGTTATTTTGATCATTGATCATTCATTCATTGTCCAGATCAAAGAACTACAGAGTCTCTCCACTGCTTTCAAACAAAATTTAAATTCTTTAAATCTAACTTTAAGGAGTTTCTGTCAAATGCCTCTAAGTCTTTGGCGTGTCCAAACATAGCTTTCTTTATTTCGGTTACCTCCCTTCGCACTCCAGTTTTCATTCAATGAATGTTAATTAAGCATTCGCCATGAGCCAGGCACCGTGCTAGGTGCTGATACAAGATACAAAGGCCAGCCCCTAAGAAGGGGAAGAGAGACGTGAAACTTAGAAATTGCATTCTGGTCACATAGCTGCTGTGATAATATCTCTGCAGTTTCAGTGGGACCACAAGGAACAAGTGGCCAATTCCATGGGGATAGTAGAAGATACGGGCAAGGTACTCTACTACTTTTCATACGCTACTGTGTGGTTTTGAGCAAGCCCTTGTAGAATAAGAATTGCGTTGACCTTGCTTAGGGAACTTGGTATGGTGCTAAAGAATCAATGCTATTGAAAAACACAGATTTATAATATTCTGCTGGAGCAGCCAGCCTGAATTGATTCTGCTGAAAGCAAGGTCATCAAGACAGAAAATATACCCACTGCCAAATTGCCCAAATCCTGATTTTACACACTAGAGATATGCATGTTTCTGGGGGCGATAGGGTGGGCGCTGACATTTTCCAAATGGAGCCCCTCATTCTAGCAATACCAAGAATGACATTACCTAAACTCTCTCTTGGTATTTCTCAAATACTTCTATATAAAGATATTAAACTAGTATTAAATTCTCAGAGACTGAAGAAAACACTGGACAAAAAGTGTTAAGAACAAATTTTTACTAAGTCTATGGTGAGGATACAGATAAAAATTTGCCTTCAGGATTAAAAATGTTTGGATTCAGCAAAAATAATTGATTTGAAACCCCCTTATTTTATTTACTGTTTTCACAAAACAAGTTACAATTCTATAAATTTGTATTCTGAGTTTCAGCTCATAAATTTTAGACATATTTCTCTTGTACAATTATTAATTATGCATCCTGTAAAGCATGTTTTGTTAAGAAATTTAAGCTGAAAGAAGAAGGGAAAACTTAGGGGGAAAAGACAGAGAAACACTGATAGAAGATCAAGGGATCTGGGAAGCATATGTGTTCCTTCTAATAGCAGAGACAGTGACAGATTAGAGATAGGGGTACAGGGATCTAAAGTCTAGAATATATAAAATCTCAAATATTTCTACTAGAAATGGCCTTAGAAATTATTCTGGAACAGAGGATTCCTAGGGGCTGCAAAATCCTGTGAGTAACGCTTTCCAATATCCAGCAAGTTTTCTCCAGGTAGTGAATGAACTAAAGTGAACCACCATAATACAGAAGTCCGTGTACTTTTTACTTTAAAAGAAATAATTACTCTTGAACTGTGTGGGAACTACTGAGATACCTTCTAACTGTTATTTCACAGATAAAGAAGTTCAGGATTTGTTACTGTAAGTGAAAGATTGAGTTAGCCAGAAATAAATGAAAGAGCAATAGCCATTTTTTGCCAGCATCCATGGGTGACATAAAAGTTTAAAAAATAATAGAAAATAAAATTCTAGTAAACTTAATAAAATGTATTATTAGAGATAGTTCAGCAAATGGTCAACTGGAACTCCTAATTTGGATGTACCAGACACAATGCTGGTGGTCTGAATCCCATCTCCCTGGGTTTTGATTCTGGCTCTATTCTTTATTACTTGTGTGACTTTGACAATTTATTTAGCATTGCCTTGCTATGCCTCAGTTGTCCCACATGTAAAATGGACACAATACTACTTCCTCCTGGAAATATTTTGAAATTGAGATGTGACAGTGTGTGACACGCAGTCAAACACAATGCCTGGTACAGTAAGTAAATGGTAAGTCCTGGCTAATATTACTAAGAGAGTTGATTTATTTATGCTTTGTTCTAAAAGTTACCATTCTCATTGCAGTATAACAACATCCCATCATCTCAGTGAATTCTTTTCAGATCACCCAGCCACTACTTTTGAATTCCTACAATTGCTTTTTGACTGTATATTTTCCTACTGTGTCTCATTTTGCAGTTCTCTGCGTGGGTGTCTGCGTCAAGTGTGAAAGCGAGGAAGGGAATGCTTCTCCATATATTCTGTATGCTTCACAAACAGAAAATTTATACATATTAAATATTTGCTCAGTGATCTATTTTAGCTATTTTTAAAAAGAAAATGTTATCTTCAAGTAAGCTATTTGAAAACTCTGATTAGGATTCACTAATCATTGTTATTCTAATTTGCATATTCAATATTTATTTATTCCATGTGAGGCAGTAGGGTTTTGGAGGCCATAAAAATAAATCAGGTGTGGATTAGGTCCTTAAAGAGGTTATAATTTAATAGAGTGGATATTACATGTAAATGATAAAAATAATGGTATGATCATACTAAATATTTATGCAGCACTAAAGCATTTTTGCATATATTTACTCATTTAATCCTCTCAATACCTTAGAAAGTAGGGACTTTTATTTTACAGAATAGGAATGAGGAACAGAGAATGTAAGTAATGTACCCAGAGTCACACAGCTAGGAAGTGCCAGAGCCAGGATCTGAATCTAGGCCCTTTGGATCGCGAGTTGATGCTCATAAGACCCATGCTGTCTTGCCTCTCTAACTGGCTCTACTAAACTGGTAAAGTGAATTGCATTATAATGAGGATTCAAAAAAAGAGAAAGTACTTGCAGTAGAAATAAGTAAAATTATTCTGGGAGGGTTGACATCTGAGCCAGAAGCAAAGGAGGAACAGGTGCAAGTGCACAGGCAAAGAGGGAAAGCCCAGGGAGCCCAGGACAAAGGCCTGCTGTGGGAAAGTTCCGGAGTGTGCCGTGTACGGTTACAGTCAGGAGGACGTAGAGAGAAGCACTGCAAAGAAAGCTTTAAAAGAGAAATGGGGCAAGATCATTGTAAGCTTTGAATAATAGGGTGAAGAATGCAGATTTTATCCCAAGAGTAGTAGACATGCCACTAAAATTCTGAGTTGAGATCAGAAGTGCGTGCCACGGAGTCCACGTGGCAGCAGCACGTAAGAGGACTGGTTCGACTCCATTTTTGACTCCATAGTAGTGTTGGATTTAAAACCACAGAAAATAAAAAGTATTTATTGCAGCTTTACATTTATGCAATTACTATACACATGAGAGAGGATATGATTGTGATTATATGTCTTTATATAACCATGATCTAGAACATATTACTTAGTTCTTAACTATTACTCCAAAACAACAAAAAATGAATATATTAATAGACTAAAAGTATAAAATATAGAAGTAACAGTTTAAAATTTATAAAATACAGCAGTAAGATTTGGGGGTTACTGTGGCAGTAGATATGATGTGCCCAACACATCCTCTCCAAAATTCCCAATAGAATACACTTGAAAATGTAAAAAGAGTTAAAAGGGGTCACAGCTCTAAAAACTAAGGGCAAAGAAGACAAGATTCCTCTTAGTCTTAGTGGTGATTCTACTTGCTGCTTGTTAGATCTTATTGAATTAAGAAGTGCCTTTTAAATAAAACACCACATGCCTCCTTCTCTGAATGAGAACAAGATCTGAAACTCCAGAGATAACAGGGAACCATTTTTATTCATACTCCTTGCTGGAGTCTAACCCTGAGACCCATAGGTTTTTACTAAATAAAATAAACATATTTTAAAAACCCTGGTCATGCCCCAACTGTGCAGGAACTGTTTCTACACAGCCAGTCCTGGAGCCTCCTAGTCAATTACTGCCCCCCATCCCCATCCCTATCAGCTCCTCTCCTCTCTGTCCATGCATGGGTTAGAGTGCACAGGATGCAGCACTGCATTCGGAAATGTGACACTCAGCTGCTTAAGGAAAAGCACAGCAAGGTGGAGAGAACCATCATGCTGAGAAAGTGCATGACAGAAAGTACAGGTACCCTCTCTGGTAGATAAATGGTATTATCTACCTGGGTTCAAAGCAAATGATGTAAGAGGAGTATAAAATAAAAAGCCATGAGATACCCACAGCATGCATACAGAGAAGGATAATGTGAAAAGTTACTTGAACGGAGAAATTTTTAAAAAGATGCCAAGAGATCTAGGAAGGCTGCCTTCTCAGAGTCCAATCCATCATCAAGTTCGTAATTCTGGGATTGCTGCACACAGCTCACCACTAAAACTGCTGGGAAATTACTCTTTTGGTTGTAATAATTTTAAACAATAAGGAAAATATGATATGGTCATGTTGGGTTGGAAGACATAGTTTGTATCTTTTCAAGTATATATGTCTATGTTTAAGTTGTGACTAAGGAAGAATGAAGACTTCAGGTAAAACCTGGTAGATTGAACATGTTATATCTGATACTTCTGAAGAGCCTACTTAAATGACTGTAAAGCACTTGAGACCAAAAAGAGTATGTGTAGAAATGACAAGAGATGATAGATATCAACATAATTCTGAAAGATGGAAAGTGGAAAGCATGTGGCAAGGTATAAACAGATGAAGACATCAAAGAAAAATGAAATCTGGTCCTGGAGAGAAGGAAGCAACTCAGAGGTCCATTTCACAGTCTCATTTTTAGGGGGGTGGAGAGGGATTGGTAACAATAACATCATCTAATGAATGTCTTCTATGTTCCTGTTACTTTTTAAGTGCCTGAAATAAAATAACTTATTTATTCCTTACCACAATCCTGTGATATAGGTATTATTATTATTCCCACTTTATATATGAGGAAGTGGAGGCACAGAGAAATTAAGGAATTTGCCCATGGTCATTTAGCCAGTAAGTGAGGTTTAAACTCAGAGTCTGGAGCCTGAGCTCAT